TCATCAACACTCAGAAAAGCAGCAGTTGAGAGATCAAACGATGCATTGCAGTAGACACAAGACTTTTTAAAAAGTGTTTAAGAACAAAGATGTCAGTTTGAGGACTAAGGTATGCCTGACCCAATTCATGTTATTTTCAATAGCCTCCTATGCGTGTGAATGTTGGACATGAATAAGAAAGATCATAGAAGAATTGATGAATTTGAATTACGGTGTTGGAGAAGAATATTAAAAGTGCCGTGAACTATCAGAACAAATCTGTATTGTATGACGTACAGGCAGAATGCTCTTTTGAAGCCATGATGGCCAGACTTCATTTCTCATACTTTGGACATATTATCAAGAGGGACCAATCCTGGAGAAGGACATTACGCTTGGTTAACTGGAGGGTCAGTAAAGAAGAGTGAGACCCCTGAGATGATTTGTACACTGGCAGCAGAAATGGGCTCAAGCTTAACAGCTGTGAGGTTGCGCATGGCCAGGAGTGTTTTGTTCTGATGGCCAGTTACTATGAGTCAGAAGCTACTCAATGGCACCTAACATCAAGTGGGCAGGGAGTCTAAGTCAGTGGCGGGAGAACAAGTCAAAGGCTGGTGAGAATGTTTGCACAACTTGAAGACCGTAATTAATGCCAGAGTTGTACACACACAAATTGTTGAAACGTGTATGACTGCATTTTGTTCATCCTCCCAAATTACCTCAACACAATTCATATTTAAAATTTCTAAACTATAGAACTGTATCCAACACAGAAAGTGACCCTAAAACTGTGGACTATTAATAAAGCATCAATTTTAGTTCATCCCAAGTGTGAGATCTAATAGGAAAGCATACAGCAGGGAAAGGGGGTATATGGAAACTCTGTGGTTTTCACCTATCATTGTAAATTTAAGAACTGCTTTATAAAAATAAATTCTATTGAAAACACAGCCCCTAAACTTCTCAGTGAGCAATGCTTTCTTTAATCCATGTTGCCCTCTGCTGGGAGACCGCAAAGACATTGCAGGCAGGCCCTGACCCATCTGATTCAGGTAAAGCTGAGTTTGAATCCCAGTTTTGTCACTACTGGCTCTGGGTCTTGGACAATCCACAATCATATGGCCAAGTCTCAATATCCTCTTCTTTAAAAAAACCACAAGTCCTGCTTCACAGGATTGTCATGAAAAGTAAAAGGACGTAAGGGAAATGCTAGCGATCTGCCTCATCATAGGCACTTGATAAATGCCTTCTGCATATAGCAACATTTGTCGTTAAGAAGCAGGTTTAAATCCAGACGACTGCCAGTTCTGCCACTTCACATTCTTGGGAGAAAAAGGATCTAATGTGGTTCAGTGCATACTTTGCTCCAGTGCTGTGCTGGCTTTTTTATGGACTTTTTCCTTTAATCTGAAGACATAATGCTGAAATGAACATTGTTGTTAAGTGTGGTTATGAAATGTCGATCTTGTGGTTCAAACCCATCTTGCAGTCTTGTGCTTTATCCCACAGCACCTCACCAGGATTAACATTATGACCCCCATTATAAGAAAATGAAATTCAGAGAGGTTATGTAACTTACCAAGGTCACACAGCTGTCATGTGGTTGGGCTAGGATTTCAACCCAGAAATGTCTGCCATTTAGTTCCTTGCACTAAAAAAAATCTATTAATCTTAGGTATCAGGCACTGTAGTATAAGCACCAGATGGCAAGATTGTATGAACTGCAAGGTTGGTGGTTCAAACTCACCAGCTGCTCCTCAGAAACTCTACACAGGGTCACTATGAGTTGGAGGGTCACTGCACTTAACAGGCTCCCTTTGAGAGGTGGGAAAGCAAAGTGGAAGGAGGTACCCAGGGGGGTTGAAGATTGGGCAAAATGGCCCATTCTTTAGGGTTCTAGTTCCAGTTCTCAAAGTGGTTTCCTAGTTTTGCCCAAGGTTATGCTGAAACACACTGCAGCAACAGGTGGCACCCAGTCCTTATTTTACTAGAATGATCCAAGTGTTAAAGTGAGTAGTAATGTAGACTGTGGGACAGAGCCTGGTCGACCCTTGAATAACTGCAATTTACAACTGGAGACTTCCTCTCCATTTGAACCAGCCCAGTTCAGCCTAGAAATGGAAACTAGTCCCTGAACGATGCTGTCTCTCCAGTCCAGCCCCAGTCTTCGATGATACCATGAGTCCTGATGGTTGAACCGAGCATTCTGAAACAGATTACTTCCCCTGTTTCAAGTAGCCATTGTGGATGTTTCAGGCCCAGGTCCTCAACTGAGAAGGCAAGAGCATACTCCCGTTAATTAAGCTTGGATCAGTCAGGCCTGTTTCTCATATCTGATAGTTAGAAGATCGTGGGCAAATTTAGCATCTCTGCTTGTTTCCTCATCTGTAAAATGGGAGAATAAACAGCACCTTGAAGAATGCTTTATAATATGAGCACTAGGTGGCTCTAAGTGGCTAACACATTCCACAAGAACTAACGTTCTGCAAGAGCCGCTTCTCATGGCCTGAGAGCCTGAGAGTTCTGGATAGCAGACGGAGACTTAAATCAAGGACATGGCATGAGAGGAGTGTTTATTCCCCAGAATCGGGCTGCGAACCTTAAGGTCAGTGGTTCGAAACTACCAGCCGCTCCGCGGGAGAAAGATGAGGCTTTCTACTCCCGTAAAGATTTACACCCTCGGAAACCCTGTACAGGGTCGCTATGGGTCGGAACCGACTCGAAGGCACTTAACAACAACAACAACAACAGGAGGTACAAAACAAGAGGAAAAAAGGGAGAGGAGAAAACCCTTAAAGTTGAGTGGTCAGACTGTCCTCCTGCTGCATCCACCCTCCATCTCTTCTACCTGACGTGGAAACCGCTCACCTGTGTGTAACAACAGTTGCATAAATAAGGCTCAGGCTCATTACCTTATTGGCATACCTTATAGTCTGAAACTCTGGGATCAGAGCCCCAGGAAAATTTTATTTTTGTTTCTTGTCTCAAGTCTACTATTATTTTCTCTTTTCCTTTCTTGAGTTATCTATCACAGACAAACCAGGCAAATACTAAAAACCTAATTGGCATGGGGAGTGGGGTGGGGACAATAAGTTTGTGCATGTGTTATCTGTTTCTAGACTCCCAAGTGTCTGGAAGGGGAGGGAGGGACCCAGCCTGTCATTTCAGTTGGGAGCATTTAGAGTCATAAGTACCACCAGATACCTGAAATTATTCATGAGGAATTGATTGGCTCTTTGCCTGTTTGTTGCCTTCCCAAAAGTCAAAACCACAAGAATTGTCAGTCCTGTGACTACAATCTTTCTATTTTGCCCCCAATGGCAACAATCGCAAGATGGCCTACATTTAGGGATCTCAAATTAAGAAATTGAGTCTATTAGTATTAATATTTTGTTTATCTTGTTCTGGAAGGCTCTTCAGATACCATGAGTCCTGAGGGCATAACCGAGTATTCAGAAAGAGATTACTTCCAGAGTCTGAAGTGGTCACTGTGGAAGTTTCGAGCCCACTCACTAAACCCATGAGGCAGTTTTTCCCAGTGTAGAGGCCTACATAGAAGCACATGATGCCAGGTAAAGACAGGTGGGCTGTGCGTTGAGGCAGTTGCAGCCCTTTTCCTCCCTGGACTCTAGCTCCTCATTTAAGAAGGAAATACGGTTTCCATCCCTTTCACTCACCAGCTACATTTAAACTCTTTGTGTCGAGGTGTTAATACCATTAACAAGAGACACAGGTCAAGTCACTGAGGTTTAATGATTCCAGGGTTTATGTTTTCACCATCTGAGCATCACTTCTGTTCCACAAAGTCCCTTCAATGGTGGGAGACACTTCAGGTCACCTAGCCTATACTCCAAACCCTCACAAAACAGAGCTCACTGATAAAACAACAGGCAGTTATTAGTCCAGTTAGTGGCAAAGCCTTGGCCTTTAAGGTCCAAAGACCTCTAGCAAGGGCAGAGAAGAGGGTGGGGCACTGATACTGTTTGAACCCGAGTCCCTGAGTCCTTCCTTTCCAGGCATTCTAGATAACAAGCCACCTTGTCTTAAGAATGAATCTATCCTTTGATTGTGGGACACAACTCCTGTGGGGAAAGGATTACAGATTTAAAACACCTCTCTGAAGGTGAGGTCAAAATACCCTGGTCATAGTCAACCAGAAACACCCTGGTGTCAAGGACTTGGAGATGTAGCCAGAATGCTGGCCATGGGACATGAAGTCCCCTGGGCCAGTCTCAGCTGGACTCGCAGTGCTTTCCTGAGCGGGCCACAGCAATTTCTTGGGATCTTCTGCAGCAAACCTGTCTCCTCCTTCCATGTCCTGACAAACGCAGGCAGAGCCAGGAGCAAACCTTTGAGCTCCTACCTTGTCTCTGGGCAGGAGTGGAGCTTACTGACCTGACTCCTCTCTGGAAGATAAGAGTTTGTTTCTTGGTGAAAAGTTCCACGTTGAAGAAAAGATAACAACGTCATTTACAAGTTCAGGCCAATCTTAGGCATCCAAGTTAAGGTGCCGGCAAGTATGAAAGGACTTGTTTAACCCTATCCAGGCAAAAAGTAGGTCACTCGGAAAAGCTCTAAGATCAACATGGTACACAGAGCCCTCTCTTGGTCAGTTGTAAGTTACGCGTTTGGTCTAGATTGTTTTGGTTGACCCAAGCCCTAACTAGAACCAACTTCATTACTTAGCTCTTAGGACTAGTGGACAATCTGTCACTTGCTGGTCCCTGTCCAGCCTCGATGACTTCCCCAGAGAACTGGGGCAGCAGTGGGCCAGACGCAGACTGATGAGGTGAAGTCACTGTGCCCTGGGTGAGCACCTCATAACCTCAAGACCATTATGTAGAAATGAGTTGACTGAACTCTCTTCAGGGTCACATCTACTCCCAGCTTTGAGCGTGGAGCATAATAGTCAAACAAAAAATGGATTTAAAAGATTCTCACCACTTTCCCCCAAACTTATGCACCCATGTCCTAGCCTCTCTCCACACACACACCTCACACACACACACACACCCAAAGTGCCACTAGAAGATGCTGTCCCAACACTTTCCATATCCCAGGGCCCAAGAATTAATGGCGTTTGGCAGAAAATCCCATCCCACACTGGAGACTCCTCCAAGCTCAACACAGTGAAAGGAAATGTTAGAGAGAGGGAAGCGGCCATGGAAGCCAGAGCCCACTCCTCCCCACATTACAGAGGCACAGAAATCTTAGGGGTCAGTGAAAACAGCATCATCTCTTGCTGGAAGGCCACCAGCTACCGCTGCCCGGAAGCCGCATGATTGCTTGTTTCTCCTCGGGACTAAAGTGCAAGATGGTCAGTATGGCTGTGAGCGTCTGTTGACGACCCAGCGCGTCTGGCAAGGTCAGGAAGCGGTAGATGATGTTTTTGAGGTACTCCAGGTTAGCTCCTTCCCGGCTCTGGTCCCTGAGGTTCTTTGCAATGTGGTTCTGCAGAGCTCCGACCTCCTCTCGGTGCCGTTCCCCCTCCTCCAGCAGCCGGTCCTGCAGCTGGTGCACCTCAGCTTCCAGCCTGTGTTTCTGCTTCCGCAGTGAGGTGACCTCCACCTCCTTACGGGCCAGCTGCTCAGCGTACAAGAAGAAAGTGGGCTCATTGGCTGCCGCAAGGTGCAGGGCTTGCGTCAGGCTGTCCGGGGATGATGTATCCGCCGGGTCCCCAGGTCCCCCGGCTCCCACGGGGCTTCTGCGTCCTGGCAGGCCAGAGGACAGGGCCACCGAACGCAGCTGCTCCAGCTCCAGGTCCTTCTCGGCCAGCACGGCCAGGGCCCGGTCGCGCTGCTTGTGTAGCTCCTCCTCCAGCTTGTGCGTGCGGTCCCTGAAGTCCAGCTGGCTGCGCTCCAGCTCCTGCCGGTGCAGCTGCTGCAGGTGAGCCAGCTCCTGCTTCCAGTCGTCGGCCTCCTGCCGGTGCTGTTGCTCCAGCTCCTCACAGGACAGCCGCAGGGAGATGTACTTCTCCTTCAGCTCTGCCAGCTGCTCCTGGGCCGCCTCCAGCTCCTTGGACAGGTTGCCATCTTTGGTGCTCTTGCTCTTGAGAACCACTTGGGCTCTCATCTTGTACCTCTCAAACTCCTCCTTCAGCTGCTTCAGCTCCTGCTGGTAGTAGAGCGCAGTGGCCTTCTCACCGTCAGCGGTCTCCGAGCTGGGCATTACCTCTGGGTCGCAGAGCTTTTCCACATCCAGGGTCACCTGGCTTTTCCTGGCTGCCACTTGCAACAGCCTCTTCAGCTTCTCCATCTTGTCCTTCAGGATGTTGACATCTAGACTGGACTCCTCACCATGGCTGTCTAGAGGAGAGCGGCTGGAGGCTGCAAGAGCCAGCGTCTTGTTCTCCAGGTCCAGCTGCAGAATGCGCTCCTTCAGCTTCTGGATGGCCAGCTGGTCCTTTTGCTTGGCCTTCTCATAGGTGCCCAGAAGTTCAGACACCTCGGATATTTGGTTCTCCAAGGCTGCCACCCTCTGCTCTTCCACCTGAGACTGCTGCCGGAGTTGTTCCTCAGCAAGGGTTGTCTGCAAAACAAGGCAACACACAGAAATGCACCCAGGAGAGCCACAGGCCCTTGAGCCAAGAACAAATGGGTCACGGGGTTGGGATGGCAGGCAAGAACGGAAGCTGGCTACTTTTTCTGAGGATTCAGGAACTAACAACGTTCCCAGACACACGGGATATTTGCTACTGTTACCGCTTCCACTTTCTCCTAGCATGCATCTAGCTCACATATAAAGCCTTACCTTTATTTATTTATTTATCATGTTGTTGTTATGTGCTGTGGAGTCAGTTGTGACCCATAGTGACCCTGTACAGTGTTTCCAAAGCTGTACATCTTTACGGGAGCAGAAAGCTTCATCTTTCTCCTGAGGAACAGCTGGTAGTTTCGAACTGCTGACCGTCAGATTAGCAGCCCGATTCGTAACCCCTCCACTAAGAGAGGTCTCCAGTTTAGAAATCACATGACTTCTTTTAAAAAATTTTTCTCTTCCAATATTTCTGGAGGTTCAAAACAGAGCTAACTCTAGCACCACACTGAAAAGGTATACTGTGAAAAGTACACCTTTCCAGAATGGGCACATCCTGCCTGAAAACGACAAGAAGCTGTTTCTTCTGAAAAAGTCCCCTTTGCCCCCTACAAACATGGCCCCACTACAACCCTTCACTGTGCAGCTGCCACTACACTACTGCACAGAGCCCAGTTGGTAAGGTGCCAATGCCCATTGGCCCAGAGCTGTCTGGCTTCTACCCAGCCCACACTCCGATTCCACATCCTGTTGGAAGCACGCTCTGAGGAGACTGTCATCACCACACAGAGCAGGATTTCCTAGGCCTCACTGAGAACTTTCAGAGGAGCCTCAAAAATGCCAGTGCAGCCACTTAGAGCTAACTCCCCCTAGAGGAAAACCATTTCATTCTGGGTGAAGTTACTAACTTCTGAACAAAATGAGGAAAATTACCTTCCTGATTTCCTGCTGCAACTGGGCCTGGAAATGGTTTTTAAGGCCGGCAGCCTCTTCCTGAAGGTCCTGCAGCCGTGGGTCAGTCTGGTTCTTCTCATTTCGAAGAGCCTGCAGCTCACCCTTCAGCTCCTCCACCTCCTGGGTCAGCTGCTTGGTCTGTAGTTCAAACCCTTCCATCTGGCCGGCGGCATAGGTCCGTCCGGCCAGGGCTTCTCGTGTCTCTTCCAGCCGGAGCTCCAGGTCCTGACGCTGGGTCCTCTCCTCCTGCAGCAGCTTCTGGAGCTCCCGCAACATCAAGGCATGGTCACTCTGCTCTTGGGCGCGGTCATGCTGCTGCGTGATAAGTCTGGCTTTGGTTTCGGCCATGTGTTCCTGCAGTCCCTTCAATTCCCCCTCCAGGCGGCCCCGCTCCTCCTCGGCCTTCTTACTGGCATCCTCTAAGTCCTGTTTCATCTTCTTCTTGTCAGCCTGGTAAGAAGCCTCCATGCGGGATTTCTCCTGGGTGACTGTCGCCAAAGAGCTAGTCAAAGTGGCCAACTGAGTCTTCAGCTGGTGCAGTCGTTTGTCCGCCTCCCCGCCCCCGGACAGACCATCCCCACTGCTGCTACTAACGCCACTCTCCGACCCGCTGGCCTCCTCGGACTTCGGAGATAGTGGTCCACGGGCCGGTCTGTCATCCTCTATCCCAAACTCACCCTTGGTGCTGGTGAGACTGGCTGCAGTATCCATGCTGGTGGCGGTCCCGGTGCTATCCCCACTGTGAGTGGAGCATCGGTCATCAACGGAGTCGGGAAAGGTGAGGGATGGAGCCTGGACACCTGTGAGGCCCACATCCGCCTCGTGGGACACGGACAGTACCTTGATGCTGGCCTCCAGCGCCTCTTTCTCCTTGAGTAGGCTTTTATAGGCGCGGACCACGTCCTTGAGCCGTGTCTGGTACTGCAAGAGCTGCTTCTTCTGAGTCTCGATGGTCTCCAGCAGGTCCTTCTTGCTCGGGCCGCCTCCGAAATTCATCCCGAACTTCTCCATCGGAGTGCCGAGCTTGTTGTTCCACGTCAGCTTTCGGGCAGCCTGGGGAGGGCCGCGAGGAAGTGGTGGGGGTGGCAGGCGACCGGGAGAGGGTGGCCGGGACGCGCAGCCGCTTCTCCCAGCAGTTCCGGATCGGATAAGGGGCGACGGGGCAGCCGAGCAGAAAACCCGCCCGGTAGCCGGCCGAGAGAGCGGGGCGGGTCTTAGCCCGGAGGTGGGGCGACGCCGGCTCGAGAGCTGTGCACTTGCCCGGCTCCCCGCCCCGGTCAACAGCCTGCCCGGCGTACCCCGCTCGGTCAAGGTTTACTTTGAGCGTAGCTCCATCACGACTCCTAACTACAGCGGCCGGCCCCCAACGGCGCATCCGGATCCGCGAGGAAGTGACGACAGCACGCCGTCGCAGGCTCCGCCTCCAGTAGGTACTAGGTGGGCGGGTCGGCTCCAGTCAGCAGGAGGCGTGGTCTGCTGCGGGCCCAGTGGAAGTCGGAACCTTGGACTGGTTTGGGAAGAACTGAGCTAATTGAGGAAAGGACTCAGGAATCTTGGTTGCTTTCCTGAGGTCAGGACAACTGAGTTTGTCCTTGGGGGCGACGTCGCACTGCGTTCTTACAAAACACAGGGGTGGGCGATGCACTCCCACCCTTGTTGCATTTACGTCCCTAAAATGCAACAATTAGACTGCCTTTAAGAACACAATTTCAACCCTTTCTAGCACAGTGCTTGGCACCTACTAGGCATGTTGTTTTTTTAGGTGCCATTGAGTTGGCTCCAGCTCATAGCGTCCCTATGCCCAACAAAACACTGCCCGTTCCTATGCCATCCTCACAATTGTTGATACACTTAGACCCACTGCTGCTGCCACTGTGCCTATTTATCTCATTGGGAGCCTTCCTCTTTTTCACTGACAGTCTACTTTACCAAGCATGATGTCCATCTCCCTGGACGGGTCCCTCTTGACAATATGTTAAAAGTATGAGAGACGAAGTCTCACCATCCTGGCTTCCATTAAGGAGCACTCTGGCTGTACTTCTTCCAACATGGATTTGTTTGTTCTTCTGACTGTCCATGGCACTTATAATATTCTTCTATGTAGCATAAGAAGAATATTATAAATGCCATACGGAGTCCTGTTGTGGCGCTGTGGGTTAATGCATTAGACTGCAAAGTCTTCCCAGCTGTAAGGTTGGTGGTTCAAGCTCATCAGCTGCTCCTTGGAAACCCTATACAGGGTTGCTATGGGTTGGAATCAACTTGACAGCACTTAACAACAACAACAATGTAGCATAAGGACTCCTGTGTGAAGCTGTAGGATCAGCACTGGACTGCTAATCGCAAGGTTGATGGTTCTAACCCACCAGCTGTTTCTCAGAAACCCTGTACAGGGTCACTATGAATAGGAACAACTCCATGGCACTTAAAAAAACAACAACAATGTAGCATAATAATTGTTAGCATCCTTCTGAAATTCTATTAAATTGATTGAACAGATACTTATAGAGGGTATGCTATAGCCACAATTTCCATCCAACTATATGCAAGGAGCTCTAGTAGTGTAGTGGTTACGAATTGGGCTGTGAACCTTAAAGTCAACAGTTTTAAACTGCCAGCTATTCCATAGGAGAAAGATGAGGCTTTCTGCTCCCATAAAGATTTACAGCCTCAGAAACCCAGTACAGGGTTGCTATGAGTCCGAACCAACTCCATGGCACATAACCACCACCATATGCCAGGAACCACAAAAAAAATGTGTTTATCTGTAGAGTAATTCAGTTTAGGGAGTGATCTTATTATTTTATAGATGGAGTGTGAAGCACAGAGAGAGGTTAAGTGACATGCCTAAGGGCACACAATGAATTCAGGAATCCTATTTAGATCAGTTTGATTATTCTTAACATTGTCAGTGCTGTGTCAGAAAAAGACATGAATGATCCTTCCCTCTAGGAGCTCACAATCTAGTGAGGAGCCAGGCATGAAAAAGCAAGTACTGACTTCTGGGGCAAGATGGCAGAGTAGGCTGAGCAGACAAAGGCATATTCCACCAAGTGAAACAGATACAGATGGAGATTCTAGAACCCTATCCTTCAGAGGAAAAGATAGAGATGGACTAAAAGCCAACTGGGAAAGGAAGTTGAGCAGAGAGGAGAGAGTCAGGTGGGCTGTCAGCTGGCCTGGTGCATCAAGTTCATCTGAAACTTTTTCCAGAAGCCTTTGATCACCACAGTGGCCGAGAGGCAAAAGATGTACACTGGAGTTTGGCAGAAGGGGGTGAAGGAGATGGGTACAGTTTTCCTTTGTTCCCCATGTCCTCCTAGTGGTGAGGGCCAATGTCAACCCCTGCTGGTACCTGCCTGGCAGCCAGTGGCAACCACTCCTGCACAACTTCTGCTCTGCCTGGGGTCAGGCATCCGATGTAGCACCCCCTCATCTGGAGGCATGTGAATTTCACCTCATCAGATCTTTTATTGTTGTGATCTGTTTTGGGGAGAGAGCAATTGTGCCTGTAAGGCCCAGCCATATGTGTACCCCTTGGGACTCCACTGACTGGGCAAGTGCCATGACCCACTCCTGTACCACCTGATCAATAGTAATCAGCAGCCAACATCAGACAAGCCCACCCTGAACAACCTTACACAAACAGTGACCTTACACAAAAACTGCACATGAGTGCTTGAGAACACACTAACATACAACCATCAATTGAATATAAATACAACGACACCGCAATGTCTCAAAGACAAATTTCTCAATGTGCATCTGCTAGAGGAACAACCAATACAATAACAAAAAAAAAATGTCGTGGGACACCGTCAAGAGGAATAACTCACATGTGATCACACATGTGATCACAATCCCAAAGAGAGACCAAAAAAAAAAAAAAAAAAACCAAAGAAAATTGTCAGAGTTGTTTGAGGAAAATTTCTCTAACATCATCAAAGATGAGAAGGTATGCAATCAAGAAGCTGAGTGAAATCCAAAGTGTAAAGACCCCAAAAGAAAATCACCAAGACATAATCAAACCCTCCAAAGCCAAAGGCAAGGAAAGAATCCTGAGAGCAGCTCAGGGAAAATTACAAGTTACCTACAAAGGAGAACTAATAAGACTAAACTGACTTCTCAGCAGAAACTATGTAGACAAGAAGGCAGTGGGATGACATACATAAAACTCTGAAAGAAAATGTTACCAAATCAACAATCACATCTGAAATTGTCCCTCAAATATGACAATGAAATTGGGATAGTTCCAGATAAACATAAATTAAAAGAATCTGGAAAAATTAGATGAACCTTATAAAAAATGCTATAGGGAGTTCTTTAGACAGAAATTCAACAATAGCAGACAACAATCTGAGATTAAATTCATGACAACATCACCCAGAACTCAACCCAGATATAGAAGTACCCAAAGTAAAACAAATATTTTGTTAAGTACCATTAAGTTACTTTTGATTCATAGTGATACTATATAGGGTTTCTGAGGAGCAGCTAGTAGGTTTGAACAACCAAACTTGAAGTTAGCAGTCCACTGCTTATCCTACAGTAGCACAAGACTGAAAATAGTGAACCAGAGTTATCAATTTACAACAAAAACAGCAACAATTCAGAGTAAAAGGAGGGAATATTGTAGTTACAGAATTTCCAGATGAAGAGGAAATCAAATAGATTTAAGGAAGATAAATAAATGAATAAAAATAAGGGTAACTGTAACCCTAAAACAAGATCAAAACTTACTCCTAGCCCTAGCCAAGCTGCTACCCCAACACTAACCAAAATCCAAACCATAATCCTAATACTACATGAAACCCTAAAAGTAGCCTAGACCAAGCCATACACCTACCTCTAACTCCTACCCCACCCCACCCCAAAAAGAAAATATTCTTTCAGGACACAAGTGGAAACTTTCAGGTCTTTTAGTGATTCTTAAGCCTTAAACTCACCCCATTCTTTCATCACTTTTTCTAGTGAAAGGACGAAAAACTCACATGTGATCACAGTCTCAAAGAGAGCTTCCTTTGGAGATCCAATCAGTATAAGGTCATCAGTATAATGAAGCAGTGTAAGGTTTTGTGGAGGGAAAGGTCATCAAGGTCCTTGGAGACTAAATTATAACATAGGGCCAGAGAGTTGATCTACCGTAATTTTATGCAAATAATATGTGTGTTATATGTTTTGGCAAACCAGGAAATCTCCTCCTATGTTTGTTTCCAATACACACTATGTGTATTATATGTATGTGTGTGTGTGT